GTTTCAAGGGCAGGCTTGAGAGAGTAAGGTGCCGTGGAGACCATGTGGCTGGTACACGTGTCTGAACCCAGTTAAGGCCTCTGTGTAAACTGTTAGGACTCTGGCCGGTGGATGCGGAGATCTTCCTAAGACTAGCCTTGTGGGGTAAGTTCCTTTGCTTGTCAAACTGCCACCTACCAGTCTGGAGTGGCCTGCCTCTTCCGACCCTCTTTGGCCTCTGGGTACAGGGCCATTTTGCGAGCCAACACGCATACATGAGCAATTAATTCCTACAGACTTCCATCAGGGGAGTGTGATTTTCTCTTCAGGTCTGAAACCTTTCTAATAACACCAAGGAGAAGGTTTTTTTTCGGGGCTGGTCTTGAGCCACTTCCTGAGACTTTCCAAGTTCCCTTTCCTGACACAGAGCAAACTCAGGCACGCAACGGTCTGCTCTAGAAAGTATTAACGTGGCACGGTTTTCATAGAAATTATATTTGGAGTTTTATGTGGCAAGCGATTCTATAGATTTTCCCAATTTGGCAGTGACAGAATATTTCTTTCTTTCTTTCTTTCTCTTTAAAAAAAAAAAAGCCTATTAAAGTTGAAAAAGTGAGCTGATTTAAAGAAAAAAAAATTCAGTAAACAGCATATGAACGGTACCCGAATAAGGCAAAAGCTTGAGGAATGGTCCCTGAGTGCCTCTGTGTGGGAAACCGAGGGTGAGTCTGTTTCCTTCTAGTGCTTCTATGCTCTTCCCACGAATTCCACGTCGCCCACGCGTCCTGTTCGTCATTTACCAACCACTTTATATAACACTTGTCATGGGCCAGATCCTGTTCTAAGGGCTTCGCAGACCTTGTCTCATTTACTCCTCACAGTCCTAGGAGGTAGGTGCTATTATTACCCTCATTTTACAGGTGCAGGGACTGAGGCACAGAGAGGTTAAGTCACTTGCCCAAAGTCACCCCGCCAGGACGTGGTAGACTCGGATTTAAATCCAGGCGCTACCGAGAGCTGACTGCGGTGTGGTCAGGAGAGGGCCCGGGAGGTGGGCACCTTCTCAGCACCTGCTGCAGTGACTCTGGAGAAACACCTGTCTTCTCCATCAGCCTCTGGAGAACAAAGACTTGGTGTTTACCTCCTCATCCCCGGTGCTTAGCACCTAGTAGGTGCTTATTAAAAATTGGTGGAATGAATGAAGCTGAGTGAGAGATATGATTTTATTGTAAATATGAAGTACTGAGCACTTCATATTTAATGAAGGTAGGGTCGTTTCCAGAGGGGAAAACTGAGACTCCGGAGGTTTGCGATATGGCCAGCTCAGAGACCGAGCCGGCATTCACACCCAGATCTCACTCCAGTGAGTGAGTGAGTGGGATGTAGGTGATGGACACACCGAATCTGAGAAGGATGCACTGAGGCTGGCATGGATTCTTAGCCAGCTGCTGTTGGGAGGGAGCTCATGCGGGAAGAGCCGTGGCAATGAATCAGGGCAGCAAATGCAGGTGGGCGGGGGCACCACGCGAGCCCCTTCCCGGTTACTTTACTTACCCAGAAACCCACCAGAACATGGCCTTGGAGGGGAAGGAGGCCCCAGCCTCTGGACATGGATTCTGTAAAAAGAAAAGATGGGGCAGAAGGAGGACTCAGTCTCACATGGCATGGCCAGTAGTGACAAGGGGAGCCAAGGAAGACAGGATGAACTGACCATGAGCTTAGTACCAAAAGTATACACTGAGGCACCCGGCCTCCTTGTCAGAGGTGGACACCGATGGCCTTGGCGCTTCCTAGCAGGCAAGGCAAAAAGGGATTGGGCCTCAGGACCGACAGCATCTACAAGTTAAGAACTAACAGTTTTCCAGAAGAAAAACTACTGTGAATACTGAGACCGGGAAGTTCTCAAGGCAAGGACGATGCATGCCATAGAGAACAATATCCTCGACAGTATCCCTCAGCGAATGTGGTGAGGAGGTAGAGAGGGATCAGGGCTGAGATTTCGCCAGCTGCTCCAGAAAAATCGCACAGATCGATACTCTCATCGAGAGGACGTGAGAGTGCCCATTTCACCACCTCTTTACCGCCACAGCTCGTTATCAATTTTTAATTTTTTTTCCTGCCATTATCATAGCGGCAAAAAAGCCCTATTACAGTTTAACTTGATTATTCAAGCAGTTGAGCATCTTTTTAGATGATCTCAGATCACCTGTCTGTTCCTCAGAGAATTCTTTCCTGATTTCATGGACTAGTTCAATGTTACCGGTCGTAAACTCTCGTGGCCCAGAGCACTTGCCCCAGCTGGAATTTTCCATGCGTTTGCATAATGATGTGATTAATATTTGGTTCCCCTACCGGGCTGTTAGATGCATGATGACAGGGGCTACATCTGCTTGTTCACCATGGATTCTTAGCACCTAGCTGGGGCGAAGAGCAGGGGTTGGCAAACTGTGGCCGCGGGGGCCCAAGTCAGCCCAATGCCTATCTCTGCAAATAAAGTTATATGCGAACAACTCCATGATCCTTTATTGACATATTGTCTGGGGCTGGTTTTGGGCCATAGCAGCAGAATCGAGTAGCCACAGAGATCACACAGCCCACAAAGCTGAAAACATTTTCTCTCTTGCTCTAGACAGAACAAGTGGGCCAACCCATGGCATAGAGTAGCCATGCGATACACATTTTGCCGAATGCTGGAAAGAATAAAAAATTAAAGGCCTGGGCTCTAGGTCAGCTTCCTTCGGTAGCATGGGGAGACCGAGGCCGGAAGTGGAACAGGGACAAGGGAAGCTCTGGGTTGGAGGCATGGTGACTTACAGACTGCTGGGGGTCTTTAGGGAAGAAGGAGGGTTGATCAGCCAAGCACGACAGCGTAAACTGTGCCACCACCAGAGACAGGCACAGGTAGGTTGACAGGTGGCGGAAGGGGTCACTCTGAAAGCCCTGTGGGAGAGCAAGCAGAAGTGCCACTCAGTGTAGGCAGGCAGGTTGATAAGTCATCCGTAGGAACCCACCGTTTCGTGAATCCGTGGAGGGCCTGTGGAATTTTCTCATTAGTTATAAAGCTTACTTTGTCAGAATCTGTCCTTGTTTCTCTCTCTTGTCCTTTTAGAAGGGTGAAGTAACCAATTGGCTCCCGAAATGCTGATCTGAAGCCTGTTGCAGTCAGTTTTCTGCTCAGGAGTCTTGAGTGAGTGTGTCACCCACGCAAGCAGTTTTCAACCCCTGGTCTAGACTATATTTTTTCTCTTAACAGATAAAACGACCCATCATGTGTTCTAATATGGAAATGCTGCTTTCCAGGTTGGCAACAGAAATATGAGTGAGTGTGCGAAATGAGTGTGTAAAACGGATGCATGGGAGCATGGGTGAGGGTGAGAATCGGTGAGCATGAGGGGGAGCGGGCACGCGTGAGGAAGAGTGCATGCAGGTGTGTGTTGGGAGAGGCCATCGAGAGGACATGACCGCAGGATGACCCACGAACCGCCCCGGGGCCATCAGAGGCTCCTCGCCTTGGGAAAACAAGGTGTCATGAGACCATCTGGATGGTTCCATGACCGAACCCCGCTAAGGCCTCTGCGTGAACTGTTAAGATCCTGGCAGGCAGGTGTGGAGTTTCTGTCTCTCCGTGCCAGAGACCAGCCGAGTAGGTGAGTTCTCCAGCTTAAAACCTCCACCTCGAATCTGGAGTGACCTGCTTTTTCTGTCTCTCTTTGCCCTCCGGGTACGGGGCCAGTTTGGAATTTTACCTGTGAACTCCCAGAGTGTCTGTGCCCAGGGGCGTGGGAGGGCTGTGTGAATGTGTGTGCAGTGAGGGAGTGTGGGATGCTTGTGCCTCGTCGTGTGGCAGCTTGACGGCAAGTGTGTGCGTGTGTGAGATGTTTTGGAGTCTGTGGGTGACGTATAAATGGGGGCATACAAGTGTGTGCCTGGTGTGTAAGTAAAGTGTGTGACTTGAGTGTGCAAGATGATGGGCGTTCGTGTCGATAAAAGCGTGTGGGACGATGGGCACTTCTACAAGAGGAAGCGCATTTGTGAGTCAGTCGCTAGAGCTGAAGCAGCTGTGTCATGCCGTGTCTGTGTAGAGGGAGTTTTGTGTGGAAAGGGGAGGACCCAGGGCCCGGAGCTGCCATATTGGTTTTCCCTGGTGGTCCAGGACCCCACTTACCCCTTGCGAGGCCTGCTGGGCAGCACCGGTGGCTGGCAAGAGAGAGCAGAGAAGCCAGTACCCAAACAGCACCCCAGATGCCTGGACCCCCTTCTTCCTCTCAGCGTGGATCAGGAACACTGCAAAGCTCTGGACAGGAGAGTCAGGACACGCCCCCTTAAGGTTGGGGAATGAGGGAGAAGGGGCCCTGCGCTGCCCCACACCCTCCACCAGGCAGAAAAAGCAGCAGACGGGAGCCAGCCGGCAAGCCTGGGGACTTGTTACCATTGCGGTGAGCCACACGGTGGGGTGAATGAGGAATTCTGGGGCCTGGGGTGTCCCCTGCTGGATCCTCCAAAGAGTGACCGACACGTTGGAGATGCACAGGATTATGAGGGCGAACCCGAGCACCTGGGGAGACAGGCTTGGATAAGGCTGATGGGGTGAAAAGAAAGATACTTAACAAGACGCGTCTTATTAGACGGTGGCTCTGGATAGAGGGCACTGTCACGGACCAATGTCATAATTTAACAGTGCCAGCGCGAAAGATGCGTGAGTACAAGCAGTGACGGGTGTTGCAGATCGATCTCGACCTGTCACTGTATCATATAAATAATACACGGCAGGGGCCTGAGCCAACACAGTGTTTTCCAAGATGCGGGCGGTGCTCAGATAGTGCACAAGAAAGGCACAGCTCGAAGTGAGATTTACTCACTCTCTTCAAGTCTCTTTCAATCCCTACTGCGAAATCAAGGAGAAACTCTCTGTTGGGGCCGGCGTGTCTCTAGGCCCTATAAGATGCCTTGGTGTCTCTTTTGAACAAGAGAAAGCAAGAAAGTGAGACAGACAGAGGGTGGCCATGCCAGAAAGAAGGCCAGACCTGGCACTCTGGGGAATCTCAGTCAGCCAAAGTGGGGGCTACACGACCACCCGCAGGCTGAAGTTTGGCACGGTGCCAAACTTTCTGTATCCCCTGTGAGATAAGAATGGTTTTGACATTTTCCAACCGTTGAACACAACTCAAAAAGAAAAAAAAAGTATAGCATATCATGATGCGTGGAAATGATATGAAATTCCTATTTCAGTGACTCTAAATATTTTTTTAATGGAAACACAGTCATGCCTATTTGTGTACTGTGGTCTGTGGCTGCCATGGCAGAACTGAGTAGTTGGGGCAGAGACCACGTGATCCTCAGAACCGCAAACATGTACTGTCTGGCCCTTTAAGGAAGAGGGCGTCAACTCCCGGAGAGATACGGTCAGCAATAGGACAAAAATTAACAAGGGAATGAATGAACCTAGAAGGGCATTCGTGTAGAAGGGGACGGTTGAACGGAAAAGTTCACCTTAGAATGCTAGCGTATTTCTAACTCACCAAAATAAATACCCAACCATTTTAAGAACCGTTCTTTAGTCCTGCTGGAGGGGAACATCAACATCAACGCACGACTGTTAAAAACGTAAAAGGTTTATCCTACCGCGATCCTGTAAAGTTTCCTTGTGTATCCCAGGAGGACACACTGCGTGCTTTGCAGAATGCCAAGTTATGGTGGCCATAAACCTCCCAGGAGTGTGCGAGTGTTTGGATAGGGGTGTTTGAGGATTTTCATTATTAGCAAATCTGTGTGGGTGAACCTTGCTCCACGGTGTTTACCTGTGCAGTCTCTGGAGTATCGCTCTGTTTGATTAACAGGCTCCCTCTTTGTCCCCACCCTGTGTGTTCCCTGATAGGAAGAATGTCCATTTTGGGAGTCTCTGCCAGGTTCCAGCCTGCTCCTCACCCCTCCCCACAACCATTGTCTGGTTCTAGGCTCCCAGAGGCAGTGGCTACCATTTTGGCCTTGAAGAGTGGGGACATCCGGAGGTAGCCCTTGCCATGACGATGGATGTAGAAGAGGTAGATGGGGCCAAGGACCCAGAGGTACATGGGGGGCACCCAGACCCCTGCTGTTTTCAGGGAGCATAGTCTCAGTAGGTGGTCAACGGCGGGCTCAGGCTCCGTCTGGTTCCAGACCTGAGGGGACACCAGGGTGACCCTTACGATGGTACAATTGTACACAGGGGTCGCAAACTCACCTGCTTAGGGGGCCAAGCATCCTTTTGGACCCTCACATTTACATGAAAACGTGCCAAGCACTCTTCAGAGTACCTTATCGTTCTCGATTCCTTTAATCCTAACAAAAAACCCTCTGAGGTAGATGCAGGTATCACAATGCCAAGCACTCTTCAGAGTACCTTATCGATTCCTTTAATCCTAAACAAAAAACCCTCTGAGGTAGATGCAGGTATCACACTGATTTTGCAGATGAGGACGCCGAGGCCCAGAGAGGCTGAGGAACCTGGCTGATATCACCCAGCTAGAAAGTGGTGGTGCGGGGATTCGAATATGACGCTCAGAGAGCGTGGCCTCCTCAGTTCTCTCCCTCCTGTATTTACACCCCCACCACCTCCCCACTGGTGATCTTTCTCCTCCGGGCTTCACCAGTCGCCAGCTCTGGGAACTGCAACCTCCCTGTGCCTCAGTTTCCTTCCCTGCCAAGCGGGGAATCCTAAGAGGCTCTACCTCTAACGGGGTCAATCCGAGTAAAGCACATAGCACAGAGTAAGTTCTCAGTCAACACCAGCGATTATTTTTGCCTTACCTCCTTGGCCCCTGAGATCCTGGGAGTTTGCGACCCCCACTGCCACCCCATAAACGCCCTTTGAGCCCTTTGCTGAGAGCCGGCATGAGAGAGGTGGGGGTCCTGAAGCTTTATGCAAATGGGGGTCAAAGTCTCCCTCGCTGGAAGGTCTGGAGCCCCTTTAACCCCAGTGGGCTGCCTTGGGCACGCGTTTGGTTAAAGGGGTTGCCCTCCCCTGCCGTTCATCTGGCCCCGCATCTGGGGGTCTCTCCCCTCCCCAGTGTCACCACCTGGGAGATCCACCATGCCAGGGGAGGGTGGGGCAGGCGGAAACACTCACCCTCGGTCCCATGCAGAGCTCACCAGGCACGGCCATTGGGCGCTGTCGGTGTCTCTGTCCGTCAGTCAGTCGGTCAGTGGGTCGGTCAGTCCCTGACAGCCTCCTCGCCCATGCCTCTGGCCAGAGGGGAATAGGCGGGGCCTGGCAGGCCTGGCCCGGATTCGAGCTCTGGATCGCGAGGCCCCGGGCAAGGTCCAGCCGCGGTGGGGGTGGGGCGAGAAGGGGTGAAATGAGGCAAACGGGGAGGGGATCCCTCAGTCCTAGAAAGTGCAGTAGCATCTCCGTGCAACCCCCCTGGCCCAGCAGCAACTGTCATCCCAAACTTCCTGAATACTGTAGACCAGCAATTCCGGGAACTTCTCCTGTGGAAGACTCCGACAGGTGTGCACATACTAAGTGTCCAACACCGGGGTGGGTGGGGACGGTTGGGTTAGGGGCAGTCTCCTCATCCGTGCAGATGGACATTGTCTGCCTCTAAGGTGGTGGGAAGATTTTAAGATTACTAATAAAGAGTTTGACATAGTGCCTGGGAAATGGTAAATGCTCAGAAGTTAGCTATTATTAGCATTAGTATTATTATTTTATTCATAGGTTACTAAGCCGTGGTTCAAAGTACCAATGCAGAAATGTATTAATTTGGAAAGATGATCGTTTAATGCTGAGTGAAGAAAGAGATCATAATACAAAATAGGCTATATTTTTTGCAAAAATAAAAAAGTACATGCTTGAATTGGAGAAGGTGGGGAAGTCGAGCCATTTACCTTCTTCTCCTAGGTATTGAGCGAGGTGTGTCCCAGCCATGAGTTCTTTTTAAAAATGACTTATACATGCATATGTAACATATATACCTAAATAAAAAGATGGAAATGCACTAAAGCGGCGATCATGGCAATCCTAATTTTCTTTTTTTTCCTTTCCTTTCCTTTCTTTCTGCAATGAGCATGTATTCCTTTTAAGATAAGAATGAAAGACTCGGCTTTTTCAGACAGACGAGCACAGGTAGAGAGTTTGAGTGCAGAATTAAAACCCTCTGCATTCTCCCCACTGCCTTATTTCTTCTTAGGGTTTTGGTCTCGTCTTTCCTCCCACCTCCTGCAGAGCCTCAAGAGCATGAGTCCGCTTGGCCTTATTAGTCCCCTTGCTTGTTTCTGCCCCAGCCATCCTCCTGCCTCGGTCTTCAGGAAAAGGGCAGAGACACCAAGAATCCAAGGACTTGTCCTGGAGTTGAGTTGGCTGGTTTGCTGTTTACATTTTAATTCCATGTTTATTCGAAGTGTTTTTGGTGGAGGCTGATGGAAATTATGGGGAGGCTTGAGTCCCTTCTCCCTATACCACCATCCTTCAATTGGCTTCGCCACAGTCCTAGTGCGTTATTTCTTTATACATTTGAAGATGAATTTGAAGGGAATGGTGGAAATTTGAGGGGGAATGGTTGGGAAGAAGAATATAGAGGAAATTAGTTGAGATGAGCCAAGAACAGGACTGGGACACCCCAAAGCCTACTTCTGGCTCCATGAACGGCAAGCACAGAGAGTCTCAGGCAAGCCCCTTTCCATCTTTGGGCTTCGATTTCTCATTCTGTAGGATGAAAAGATTTCAGAGGCCAGCATTTTCTCATTGGTGGCTTTCAACCCCTGGGATTTGCTAAGACAAACCGGAATTCATGTTCAGGGAGGGTAAATGGCAAATATTTCAATTGTAGTCATAAATAACAAATACAATCAATAAAGCAATCGTTTAAACATCTCTTTATAGCCGAACATTTGAGAGTCTCAGTGTCTTTCGAGTGAGAATTCAGACTGAGGAACTGAAATTGGATGCACTCATGATGGAGATCCTAGATGGATGTGTCATTCTGCTGTAGCCACTGTGAGGGTTTTGACCTTTGTAAAGTTTAAGATCATTGTGGTTCATAGCTGTACATGGCTTAGCCACAATAGCAAATTCCAGTTGGAAATTTTCTCTTACCTTGTCATTTAGAAACAAAATGTAAAACTATCAGAATAAGGCACTTGAGTTTTTTTTTAAAGGAGCGAAATGGAAGAATTCCAAATATCAGGTCAGAAAAAGCAATTTCTTTTGTCTATTTAGATGTGGTGACTTGAGGTTAAATTCAGCCTATATCATAGCATACATTCAATCTTGGGACAAAATACTCCACATCGATATTTGAACTTATTTTCACATAAACAATACTTCATCTCCCAGAGCTAATTCCAAGTAAATTAAACTCTGTACTTCTCTTGCTTCTGAGGGAAACCTTTAAAATTTGTTTCTATACAAATCTTATTAGAGCTAGAATTAAAATAAAATTTAAATCTCTTTGAAAATGTTATGCTGAACTTAAACGACCTATGTTTTGCTTTAAAAGCCTTATCGGCCATTTATTATGGAAAAATGCAATGCACCAACTTATTACGAATGCCTAAAGTTGTTTTTGAGGTTATATATCACCTGTGGAATATGGGTCAAAACTGTTCGGGAAAGTTTTTGGATACTTCGAGCAACAGCCTGTCGTCCTTTCCAGTTTCAGGGAGGGATACAGAATTCCGAAGTCGAATTCAACTTTGAAGTTTCTGCCTGAACGCACGCGCCTTGCAACTGCACCTGTCAGAAGGTGCGCGGAGTCCTCCAGGCCCTTAGAGGGCACTAGCGGTCTCGTTTTGTTGCCGAGCGTGTGCCCGAGTCGTCGTGCCAGGGGCGGGGGCGTGGCGTCGGACGGCGCAATCCATGTCAACCCTGTGTGGTGATCCTGGGTCCCCTATTATAAATTATGAGGGCAGTTTTATCTTTGCAGGCTCAGGACAAGAAGCGGAAACATGTAGATTTTATGAGGTCGGGCCATGCTGGGTCTCCGGGGTGCTGGGCCGCCGGGGCCCGTGTTGATGTCCACCACTCTAGTGCTGATGCTGCTGCTGAGCGGCGTGGGGCCGGCGCGCGGCTCCGAGGACATCGTGGTGGGCTGCGGGGGCTTCGTCAAGTCGGACGTGGAGATCAACTACTCGCTCATCGAGGTGAGCGCCCGCCCCGCGGCCCCGGCCGGGGCTCGCTCTGTGACCCTGGCTCAGTCACTCAGCCTCTCTGGGCCGCGGTGGCTTTTGTGACACCAGGCGGTTGCCACCAGCCCCACTTTATAGAGTCCTTTCCTTTTTAAAGGCGTCGCTTCCCGCGGGCCCTGCACCATTCCCTTCTCGGTTCTGCTAGCGTGGACGTTTTTACCGTGGGGTCAGCTACGGAGTCGGGGTTGGGGACCTCAGAGTACGTGCGCAGGGGTGCGAGGGGCATTTGTGGTGATGATGGTGCGTAACTTTCATCAGATCACTCAAATTCAGGGATCTCCAAAATCAAGACCTCAGATTCTTGAAACCCAAACTCCAGCTTCCCAGAATCTAAAGCCCATGTAATCCAGAACCGTGACCATCCCCAGAACCCAGGCCCCGGATTTCAGCAGGTCCCAGGCCCGTGGCAACCCGGACACCAGATCCCCCAGAAGCCATATCCCAGATCTTCAAAACCCAGAACCCCTGAAACTCAGATTTCCTGAAACCCACATTCCAGAACCTAGAGACCATAAGTCTCATCCCACAACCTGCACAGCTCAGCCCCCCACCCCAAACTTCTAATCCACTAAACTGCAACTTCCCTAGATGCTTTTAACAAGCATCATTCCCAGGAGATCTCTTGGTATCTCTGGAGTTGGATATCTGTACTTTTAGTCCCTTCCCCCATTCCTTACCCCCTTGGGACTCCTTTTCCTCTGAAAATGGAGAGTTGTCTGCTGCCCTGATTGCCTTACTTGGTAGTTACTGGAATTACACTAGAGGTTTGTGCTATTAAGTTGCAAAGCCCTAGTCAATTAAATGATTGTCAGCCCGGTGGGATTCTGACCCAGAAAGCTTTTGTGAGGAAGGGAGGCTGATGGAGGTAGAATAGGTTTTTTGTCAGGGTAGATGGGAAGGGACCAGAGGGAGGGCTGGCGTCCTTTTAGGAGGATACTGATGATGGGGCAGGAGAAGGGGACTTGAAAAAGAAATGAGAGGCAGGCTGGGAGAGGCCAAAGAGAAGAGACTGAGACTGGGACCCCAGAGGCTGCCCGAACGCACATTTGAGGTGCTCCAGCACTGGCAGATGGGGGCTGTGGTAAAGGGTGAACCAGTGTGTTCTACAAAGCAGGTTGCTGAGGTTTGGGGAATGGTAGGAAATAGGTTCCACACCCCACTAGTTCTTTGACCTGGCCTTGCCTTGCCCCAGCTCCCCACTTTCTGTTCCTGTAGGTGGTGTGAGAGAAGCAGTAGGACCTAGTGCCATGGATGTCCGAAAGAAGATAATCAATTATCGCCTTTAAGACCCCTCTGTCTGTGGCTTCTGCACCATTTTTGGTCTTAAGAAGCTGAGTGACTCTAATCTCTAACAGTGGCAGGGTTCCAAGGATCAGCTGGGCGCCCATGCCACATCCTGGATTGCTTTCTAGTGTGTGGGCACAGGGCATTTCAGAAGCTGCCTTGATAGGCCTTTTGTAGCTTGTGGTTTCCTGGGGCTCTGGGAGGAAAGTGAAGGCAGGTAGGTACACTCCCACCCCACAGACTAATTGTGACCTTGAGAGCTGAGGGCAAGTTTTGTGACCCAGTATGAAGTGTGTTCCTTGAGCCCCAGAGGCATCTGTCCAGATTGTCTGACACATTCGTCCTTTCATAGTTTTTGATTGTGAAATCAGACATTTCGTATGTGTAACGTATATTGCCATCCGGTGTCCTGATCTGTACTTTATGAAAGACATGTAAATAAGATATTTCACAATCATTTCTTGATTGCATTTTCTGTCTTATAATAAAACTGCCATCACTCATTCCCAGCCTTCTTCCTTTCTGGGTGTTTTTCCGCTGTATTCATTCATTCAGTCACTATTGGGTGAGCCCCTGCATGCACTGACATTTTGTCCAGGTGGGGATATAGGTAGCAGTATAGCAAACAGAGCAGACAAGTATACCTACAAAAGAAAAATTACAGTCAGGAGATTTCATATTAAAAAC